AACTCATTCTCTTTAATCTTCCATAACTTGCAAATCTTTGAGTTTCTATGACCTTTTTCATCCCCATCATCTTTCCTAAAGCTTCATGAATCAAAACCATGCTTGAATTTAAAGGATTAACCAAAAGAAAATCAACTCACCTAGGCTTGGGTTTCACGTTAGAGAAGAAGAAGAAGATGATGATGAAGAAAGAAGAGAAAAGAGTAATTTGGAAACTTGATTTCCCAAATTATGATTCACATGGGTTTATAAAATACCCACTATCATTATTTTATTCCTTTCTTTGTTCAATGACCTTTTTGCCCCTTTCCTTCTCTTTCATTTATTAATTCATCATATACCAAATACTTCAATTAAATCCTTAAATTTCTCAATTTATCTAATTTGGTCATTGAAATTTTAAATTTTCACACTTTGGTCACTAACCCGATATTGAGGATGTTACACGGAGAATTGAGTGAGGGGAAAAGTCAGTAGTCTCAGCTGCTTAATGATTTCATCAGATGATAAGTTGAATTCATGATGAGCCATGCCCATGCTTTGGTTCTGCAGTCATCTTTCTGGTGCCCAACATTCATGCCTATCACGAACATGAATATGGAAATATGATCTTTTCAAGAACCCTTCAAATACATGAAAAAATATTAGATAAACTCGTGTCTGATATTTGATACACACAATCAAATCAAAGTATCACATAATGTACTTGATAATAAAATCGATTTGAAGTTTAGAAACATTAACTATGTAGTACATGGACTAACTATTATCACCTCAAACATCAGAGTGAATGATGTACTGCAAAAAGTATTTGCATATACCTCTTCTATGAACAACACATGCAATACCTCACAAAGAAGAGGTTAGGAAGAGAAATAGAATATAAAAAAAATATATGCCTTTATAAGATATATTTAGCAATTGATTTAGAAAAACATCTAATGTTTTCTCAATATGACCATCTGATTCAGTTACTGATAAGGTGTTCTCCATCAGTATGTAGTCTGTCCCGACATTGTGAAACTGGTAAGCCGTTTGACAGCAGCCCAGTCTCTCATCTGATAATAAAAATTAGAATTAATAAAATAAATAATAAGAGTTCAAACAATAACCCGAAACCCTATTAGCTCAGTTGGTTAGACTATCGAGTTAATAATGCGAAGATCACGTGTTCGAGACCTACTTGAGCCAAACATTATTCTGTTATTAACCTTTAAAGAAACGGTGTCGTTTTACTTGAGCCAAACATTATTCTGTTATTGGAATAAGCCCTTCAATTTTGTCACTTTCCTTAGAAAAGCCAACACTTTTTTTACATTCAAGTAAACCTATGAAATTTAGTTGATACCCAAATAAGCCCCTTAAACTTTATCACTTCATTTAAATCCTTATACACTTTTATTGATAACCAAATAAGCCCTTATACACTTCAATTGATAACCAAATGAACCCTTAATCTATTGTGTAAAAAGTAAGCTACTTGGATGTGAAAAATATGAAATAATGTTCAAAGGCTTATTTGGATGTAAAAAGTATATAATGAGTTAAATAAAGTTGGATATGTTTGTCCACCCCACCACGAATTATATCCATCGAATTGTTGCTATCCAATTAAACCCAACCCCTCACATACACACGTGTGTCAGTGTTCCATCTAACGGTTCAAACTCACTCTGTCGCACCAAGCCAACCACATCTCCACCATCCAAACTACAACCAAAGTCCCCCACCCCCTTACGTTAAGAACAGCAAAAAACAACTCTTATGGAACACTAGTCCCCCAACAAGATAGGCACACAAGTCTTAACCACCCAATTCCTTTTTCTTCTTCTTCACGATGAAATAAATGTTAGCCACCGGCGACTATCCCACCAACCGAATCCCGCAACCGGAACCAATTGTATCCGAGACAACAATGACACCAAGAGTCCTCACCATAATCTCCTCGGTCTTAGAAAAGCTAGTGGCCACCAACAATCAATTGGTCTAGTAGGATGAGGCACTAGGTCCCTTAAGCAAGGCCAGAGGTTCGAATCCTGGCGTTTACGAATGTAGCAAACTGGATTGGTAGGGTCACCCTAGGCTCCGCAGTACCCGATATGAATTAGTCGGTCAATAGATTGGATACCAGTGATTAATTAAAAAAAACTAGTATCCCCAAATGACCGGCTTGTCAATGTCTTAACCGAGCAGCCGGACGGGTTGAACTCGAACGCCACTGGACATAGTACATCGGCTCTCCTAGGGAAAAGCTTGCATGCGTTTGATGGCGTTAGGGCTCCCGATATAAGCATACCGAATTACTTGGAGAGGATTTATAAGTACACAAATTTTAGTGCTTTGTGTTGGGATACGTTTATATAGACAGGTTGGCACATAAACATCCAGATTCGCCCCTCGTATCGTTGAATGTGCATAGATTTATTGTTACTTGTGTCATGGTTGCTGATAAGGTTCTCGATGACGTGTAAGTATTCCTCTTTTTTAAAACTTGGTGTTCCTTTAAGGAATTACAAATGATTCTTGGTAATGTTTCGGGCACTACAACAATGGGTTCTATGCTCGGGTGGGAGGAGTGACCAATGCTGAACTGAACCGACCAGAAATGGAATTGCTTTTCCTTTTGGATTTCGGAGTGGTGGTTGGCTCTCGAGTTTTCGAGACCTATTGCTTCCACTTAGATCAAGAGATGTTGATTAATGGTGCTGGTCGGGAAATCGGAAGGGGGATATGCCCCATTGCCCTCGATGATATCATCAACGATATAGGTTGATTGTTTCTCTATTTCTAGCCATGGAGTCACCCCCAATTCTTCCATCACTCAAGTCCCCTTCTTCCTATAATTACATTTGTATTTGTATGAGTTATTTAGTAATAAAATAAAATGTTATTTTTATTGAAAGATTTGAGTTCGAGTAATTATTTTTATACGATGTGTGTGCTATTGATCAATAGATTAAAAAAATTATATACTATTTTATTTTATTTTAAATAAAGTATACTATTTTGTAATCATTCTAAAGTATTAAAGCAAAATTTTGTATGTATCATGTATAATCATACTTTGATCTAAATATTTTTCAATTAAATAAAAATGTAGTTATTTACATTACATATTCTCGTATTATGTCAAGAGTGTTGGTGCAAATGATTGAGATTCAAAAACTTGAGCTTGTAAGGCCAAATTCAAATCCTACCACCATCACTCTTAATGGACAATATGTAAATTTTTATGTAAATCTCAATTGAGTTTTATGTATACTCTAGCCCTGGGGTTTAGGATATCCAAATTGAACCCTAAACTTTTGAATATTTTAATTAAATATCCAAATTATAACTTTCATTTTAAATTAATCCTCAAACTTTTAAATATTTCAATTTCATCCCAAATTATGATCCTTATTCTAAATTGGTGTCTAAACTTTTGAAACACTGTTTATTTATGCTAATCACATACCACTAAAATTTGAGAATAATGTGGGCGGGATTTTTTTTTTTGAGAAATAGGGGTTTTTGAAAATTATTTTGGGGTTTAGGATATTTGTTATAGTGTACATGAAACTCGTCACACATGGGTGACGAGTTCAATAAAATATATTAAAAAATAAAATTTGTTATATGAACTAGAGTAAAATTTTATGGAACTCGTCATCCCTCGTGATAAGTTTCAATTTTTAATATATTTTATGAACTCGTCACCCCATCGTGACTAGATCCATGTGCACTAGCAAATGGCCTAGATTCCAAAATAATGCTCAAACACCCATAGTTTTCAAATTTCCCCGCCCACCCCATATAACCATTGAAACCAATCACATCCATGTTAATAAAATCGTTAGGTCAAAATATATTATTATATTTTTGAGAAAAATGTTAAGTTATGGTTGAAACTAATATTTTAATGAATTTGGGGATGAAATAAGGTGATTCAAAAGTTTGAGGATTAATTTAGAATGAGTAATAATTTGGGATGAATCTAAAATGTTCAAAAGTTTTAGGATTAATTTGGAATGAGAGTCGGTGTTTAGGGATGAAATTAGAATAGTCATAAATATGAAAACCAATTTAGAATGAGAGTGATAATTTGAGGATGTGTGATACAATCAACTTTATTAGTTAAGAAGGAAAAGAAAAGGCTTAATAATAAAATAAGTGTCCAAACTATACATATTTTCACGAATAAGTGCCTAAAGTATTTTTTGAACCATCCAGGTGCCTAATGTTACAAACGTTACCCATTTAGGTGCCCGAACTATTAACGACGTTAATTTCTCCCGTTAAGTGACACGTGTCATAATTTGGTGATTTTGATTTTTTTTAAAAAATATTATTATATTAATAAAAAAACCTAAATTCTCTTAAATTATAAAATAGCCCTCAAATCCCCAAATTCTCCAAATCCTAATCTTAATCCATCGTTTCCACCCTTTCCAACCACGACCACCGCCGCCGACATAATCCCTGCCATCGTCCTAGTCATACGTCATTGTATTTGTCGTTGATTGGCCGTAGGAATCATGTGGCATCACGATTTTCAACCTAGGGTTCAAGGGGTATAAAACATCGATTCGTCGTCGATCGGTCACGATTTCATATGGGTTTTGATTTTCAGAAGGAGGTGAGGTAGGGTGGAGCTTCGTCGACGAGAAAGGGCGGTAGACGGTGTGGGTTTAGGGGTTGAACTGAAGATTTTTAAAGTTTGGGTTTATTTCGATTTCTACGTTTTATTTTTAATATATATATATAATTTTATTTTTTAAATTTTATACAAAAATTTTAAAATTATCAGATTATGACACGTATAACTTAACGAGAGAAAATTAACACAATTGACAACCCAAACTCTTAAAATGATAACGTTTATAATATAAACACCTAGATGCGTCGAAAAATACTTTAGACACATATTTACAAAAACATATATAGTTTAGACACTTATTTTATCCTTAAGCCAAAAGGAAATTAACAACAAAAAGGAAAAAGGGGGAAAATCGAATCTCTCCGGTACTAGCCTGACCTTTTACCTTACCAGATATCCATAGTAGACGCAAAAAAAGAAGAAATCTTTATTTACAGAGCGAAAGTGGTGAATTTCTCATTTTATATATTTGAGTGATTTAATCAAATGGTGTTGAGGTGCTGAGATTCTGAAAAAAAAAGCTTCCTCTCGCTCGCAACAAGAACAGCTTTTGCTCGATCCAGCGGCGTTGTCGTTTACTATCCACTGGCCATGGCAGAGCCATCTTCGTCTTTGTCGTCATCCAAGGACGAGCTGATTCAGCTCATCAAGCGTCTAGGAACTTATCTCGCCCTCAAGATGTCAAATCCTTTCTCGATCTCGTTACACAAACTGGTTCCTTCTCTCTCTTGAATTCTTTTCTCTCGTCTTTTTGCGAATCCGATGCGACCTTTTTTGTTTCTTGAAAACTATATTTTATTCTTCTTTTTTCATAATTAGTTCTATGATTTAGGTATTTATTGGTGATTTTAGCGGAATATTGATTTTGATTATTGATTTTTGTTCGAAAATCTGTCTACTGAAGAAAATTATAATATTCGAGAAATTAATCTTATTGCAGCTTTGAATTCTAGTATTTTAGATAAATTAATGACTTCTACTGGTTTACTATGTGATAATTGTTATGGACAATAAATGGTGTTGATTCGTCTTCAATGCGAGCTTCTTTCTTGACGTTATTGATTTTTGAGCTTTACTGCTATAGGAAGAATTAAAATGCTATATTGAGGTGAAAAGCACCTCAAATCCGTTGTGTTGTCATTGCAGAAGGTACTTCAAAATGATGGTCTTAAGAAGGCATGCACTCCTGTCTGCTATTGAATCAAGAAATGATTTTTTTTTTCTTTTTTTAGCTAGGGGCATCCGCGGTTTTAGAGCTTCCCTTACTTTTATCCTTCATTTTCAGTTCAATGTATATGAAGCTATTATATTCTTTGGGGCAATGTTTCCGATGGTGATGTGTATGTTCTTACCATGTCCATATTGGCATCAGGATCCACGATCTGTTGGGGCTATTGCAGGGCTTGCTGTTGCAATTATCTTTACCTATAGATTGATGAGGTCACCTGCAGCACCCCCAAGAAGGCTACCAAAACGTCAAAACCCATCAACTAGTAGCTCTTCTCTCAATACCCAGTCAAATGCAACATTGACGCGATCTGGAGTTTGTTCACCTTCAGAGGATTTAAGAGCACAAAATGTTGCTGATGAATTCTTCCAGCCAGTAAAGGTACGAATTGACCTCTTTCTACTGCGTTTTGATATGTTTTTTACTCTCTCCGATTCTAATTTGCATCTCTCTTTTTCCTCTTTGCAGCCAACACTAGGGCAAATAATTAGGCAGAAACTAAGTGAAGGTAGAAAGGTAACCTACATATACTCCTTAACTTAGTCCTTAATGGTAATACAATGAGAAAACATTTGGTATTTATTTTATTTGTGTCTTTTTTTTCTGGAAGTTGGATTCTTTGATATGTTCCTAGACTATGGACAGAGTTAGAAATGAGGATTTTTTTTTTGTTCATTCAAACATATTGGTTGCTTTGTTTAGGATTTTTTGATGCGATAACCATTCTCCTTTGGTACCGATTAACAACTGGAAAGAACTTGAAATTCTACTCTTATTCTTTCAAAGAGGACTTTTTACAGGTCTTCTAACTGTGATTGTAGGTGTCATTTTAATCTAAGTTTTTTTCTTTGAAAAATTTTGGTCTCTATGCTTGTAGTTCTGTAAATTGGCCGGGTTAACTGAACGGCTTTTATAGCAATCTCATACAATCCCTGGATCCTCTTTGAGGGATTTTTCGTTTCTTGTATTGGATTTCATTGTCGCTATCAATTGTTTAAATGAGTCTGTCACCTTATCTGTTCTATTCACTGGAGTCTTTGTCAGAATAACTTGCTAAAGTAAATGTGAAAATAATACCAAGATTCATCATATTCCATATATTCACTGCTTACAATTAACTTGTTTTAGTCAATTTTTTAACTGAAGCTATCACAGAATATTGCTATTGTAAATCTAGAAATCTGCCTACACCTTGAATGTGCACCTGAGACTTTTGTGACATGCTTGATTATTTCTGACAGCCATTACCTGGTATTGTCATAACAAGCTTTTGTACTACTATGTGGCAGAATTTGTTGAATTGATTCTGTGCCGTTAGTTTAGTCTTTGCATACTAATACATGAGCTAGTTAACCTCACACATAAGTACTGGTAACTTCTACTGAACTTTGTCAGATGCTACGTAACCTTCTAGTTTTATCAAGCTGCATAAGTACTTTAGTCGCTCCATACTAAGTACCTCTAGACTTTCATACTTAAGTTGTGGCCATGTTGGTATTAATCCATATGCTATTTTATCAAGCCATTGCTCTGGGCCTTTTTTAAGGTCTTTGTCTAACTTTAATGGTGTGACAACTTATTGGAGTAGGTAACATGCCGTCTGGTTGGAGTTATCCTTGAGGAAAGCAGTCCAGAGGAGCTGCAGGTGGTAATATTTTCTGTGAGCTTTATGCTTTTAGCTTTATCTGTATATTGTTAATTTGATTTGTCTAATTTTGGATAGAAACAAGCAACAGTGAGGTCCTCTGTGTTGGATGTGCTATTGGAGATAACCAAATTTTGCGATCTTTATCTCATGGAGAGAGTTATTGATGATGGAAGTGAAGTGAGTTCAAACCTTCTTCTATTGTATTAATTTATGCTAATTTGTCAATGCTTAAACTTCCTTAAATGTATTTTATGACATATTAGGTGTTTGAAGGTTTTGATAGGCATATTCTTCTAATTACAAGCGAATTTTCCTCCTCCTTTTGCTTTTCTTTGTGTGTGTGCGCGCGCTCGAGTGTGGCATTGCATGTGCAGTATTCCTCCTTATTTGTTGCTGGCTGTAGTATTTTCTCATAGTGGTGCTCACATTAGGCTACTAGCAGATTTTCATATCATGTGTTTTACCTGGTGACTAACATTGTGGAAATTTGTGTCTATAGAAAAATGTGCTTCTGGCCTTGGAAAATGCTGGAATTTTCACCTCTGGTGGTTTGGTTAAGGACAAGGTCTGTAATTGTGATTTGTGACTATTTTGATTGTGTAGTAATTTTTCTTAGATCTAGATATATCAAATCGATATGATCGCGGGTTGGGGGGGGAGGTTCTTATGTCTGGACTGTGAAATCTGGTGCCTGCTATAAAAAATTAGAATGCAAACTAATCGATTATTCTTTCTTTGCTAATTTCAGAAATTTAGTGTTATATCTTCTTGTGTTTGGTAATATGTTTAATATTTTTACTTTCCCTGAAATGAATCTGCAGGTTCTCTTTTGCAGCACAGAAAATGGACGGTCATCTTTTGTTCGGCAACTAGAACCGGATTGGCATATTGACACAAATCCCGAAATACTTTCTCAGTTAGCTGTATAATTTTTTCCCGCCATAATCTCCGACATAGTTATTCAATCAGCACTTAGAATATTCTGATATTAGATTTCTGAATGTATTCTTGTCACGATGCATATGTTCTGATATTAGATTCCGGAGTCATTATTGTCACAATGCCAATGATTTTGAGACTTCTTTTCTTCTTCTTTGCAGAGGTTCATCAAATATCAACTCCATATTTCTCCTGTCAGATCTGAAAGGACTGCAGCAAATGTCTTCAGCTCTCCATCCTTGGAGTACTTCTTCGGATGCGCTTGACTGTCTTGAACTGGTAAAAAGATGCAAATATGTTTTAAAGTTGTTGTTCACTACCCTTTGGTCCCTTTTCCGTTACAGCCCGTCCCGATGTTTTCTTTTTCTAGGCACCCTTGTGCCGATATGTCGAGTCTTTTAGGAAAACATTTGTGAAATAGGGTTCAACATTCGAACTTGTTATCAATTAATGTTTGTAATCTTGATAGCCGAAGGATATGCAATGCAATCTTAAAGAATAAATTTGTTGCTTCACCTTTCTCTTTTCATTTTGTTTTACAGTCTGATTTTCTCATAAAATAATCAGAGTACTGAAGTAAAGGCAATTAGAGGGATATTTAGATAAAACTCATAACTCGAAAGAATCCGTAATTTAGTTTAATTGATTCCTATAATCATTTTTAAGATGCAGTGTTTAATCGAATCAAATTCATTACATATAATGTTGGTAAACTACAGATCAGTCAATTACTAATTCATTACAAACATGACAACTTTTAATACGCTTATATTTTTCATTTAAGTACCTAAAGTATTTTTTTGGTTAAAATAAGTATCTAAAGTTATATTTTTGGTCAAAATAGGTATCAAAGTATTTTATGTTAAAATAGGTGCTTAAACTATTCAAACTTTTTCATTTAAGTTCTAAAAAAGTTTAAGTACTTGGATGAAAAAATTGAATATTTTAGATATCTATTTTGACTAAAAAGATAATTTTAGATACATATCTATTTGGCATATTTGGAAGCAGCGCAACTCCTTTGTTTTTCAAAGATAATATGTTGAAGAATTGTCAACGTGGTACAAATAGCCAACTTAAGCAAAGATGGCTCCCTCCCAACATTGGCTGTGAAGATCAATACGGATGGGGCGGTTCAACATCAAACAATGGTGGCAGTTGATGAAGGCCTTTTCGTGATAGTTATGGTGGCTGGTTCTTTGAGTTTCATAGGAATATCGGTCGTTGCACAATTTATAATGCCGAGCTCTGTGCGGTCCTCGACGGCCTCTCTCTTGCTTGGAGTAATGGGTTCAGAAACATTGAAGTAGAGATTGACAGCAGTGAGGTAGTGAAAAACATTGTCGGCTAAGTCACAAATTTGTGAATCTACCATCGTTCCGCGCATCCGCTACTTCCTTAGACCAATTCCAGCGCATCATTGAAGTGGTTGCAATCTCCATTTTGGAGATGAATTTTAACTTCAATCCATCGTCATTTTAATACTGGATTGTGACGACACCTACAGTTGCATGCTACAATTGGCGTTGCACTGTAGCTGCGCTACATATATTTTGTTTTGTTATTTTTATGATTTTTAGTTTTTGTTATTTTTTTACTTTCTTTTGTTATTTTCTTTTTCTTTTCTTTTTTTGTTATATTATTTTCTCTTATTCTATCTTTTATGATTTTTATTGTAATTTCTACACAATAAAATAAAAATTAAATATAATATAATAAATTCAAGTAGATTAAATTGCAAGATAGATAAAAATACATTGAAATTAGATAAATAAATATATTAATTTTTTGAAACATAAAAACTACAACAAATATAAAAACATAGAAAATACTAATAAAACTCGAACAACATTTTAACCAACAAACCAAATACAACAATTTAACTAATAACCAGACAGACTCCCTCCACTCCCTCCAAGATCATCAAAGTTCATTCCAAACATATCTAATTCAGAGAATTAAAATATATAATTATGTAACTTATGTTTTTTCACATTATTATTATGAATTATAATTTTCTTATTTATTTGTATTTTCGCAATGTTATTTATGAATGTTTTATTTATGTTTTTTTATCTTGATATTTATTAGAAATGTATATGTTTTATTTTATATTTGTAAAAGTAATATTTAAATCCTTATATATTGTGAATAAAGTAGAGTTGGTGGTAATGTAAAGATAGTATTGGAGATGAATTACTGTTTCATCTTTAACGTAGAGATAGAGATATTGTAGAGTAGAGATGAAGACTGGAGATGACCTTAGCCAACAATGGAGCGTTAATTTAATCATCCATATAAGGCGGGATGTCAATGCCACGATTGATAACCTTGCTCATATGGGAACTAATGGCCCCCTGTATCTCGTGATATATCAACATCCACCGAGAGAAATCCATCTCCAGCTACTTCCTTAAAGCTGGAGATGAGGGCTGGAGATGGCCTTAGCCAGCAATGGAGCGTTAATTTCATCATCCATATAAGGCGGGATGTCAATGCCTCGATTGATAGCCTTGCTCATCTGGGAACTAATGGCCCCCTGTATCTCGTGATATATCAACATCCACCGAGAGAAATCCATCTCTCTCTACAAGTTGACCGTCCTGCTATGGGTGGAAGTTTAACCTACGGCTAGTGTAGTGGTTTTCTTTGTAACAAAAAAAAAAAAAAAGTGTTCTGACTCAAGCCGAGAAACTCATATCATACTCTGATTATCAGATCTCCGAAATTTTTATATCTCGTAGTTGTACATTCCATGATGTTCTTGAATCGTAGAAGGAAACCCTTGATTAATGCACCGTCAACTTCATATCCTCTGCTCTTCCACTTCAACAAAATATTTAAACTTCTCAAACATATTCTCTTGATACTCTCTTTTAATTTCCCTTTATCTCATATTCTTCCACCCCAAAACCCCTTTCCCACTCGTCGTACCCGCTACACAACGTTCATCCACGCGACGCCATCAGCTCCTGTCCTCCATCGCTTCCTCATCCAACTCTTTCCCCTGTTGGAGCTCCTACATTCACCTCTGGTACACTTCACGCGACACCTGCATCGTCTCTTTCCTCGATCGACCGTTATCCTCTTCTGTTGTCGTGTCCTGCGATACTAGTTCGTTCCCTTACACATTCAAGACCGGTCTCCATTCATCTATTCGCGTGGCGCGTGTGGTCAAAGAAGCGGTTGAACGTAACGAAACAGGGATCAGGTGATTCGTGTTCGGGGACGACGACACTGTTTTCGTGTTGATAATTTTGGTCAAAGTGCTTTCGAGATATGATAATGACAAGAGGTATTACGTCGGGGGCAATTCGGAGAGTTACGAGCAAAATGTGAAGTACTCTTTCGACATGGCGTTCGGCGGGGGAGGGTTTGCTATCAATTACTCCTTGGGAAAGGTTTTAGCTAGGGTTTTGGACTATTGTCTGATGAGGTACGGTCACTTGTACGGAAGCAATTCTAGGATATGGGCCTGTTTGGTTAAGCTTGGCGTAGGTTTGACTCATGAACCTGGCTTCCATCAGGTACTTCAGCTGCTACGAACCCCCTTCCTGTTCTAACACGACTTTGCTTTGAGCCCGTGTGACTATACATGAAAGAAAATCTTAGTTAATTAAAGAGGTCGAAAGCCGAGTAGCATATTGGTTTTATGTTTTTACCGATTTTATGCAGTTTGGGTTCCTTCCATGGATTTAAATAGAGACGGTGATTATTCAATGACTCGACCTAAAATTTTTTTAGTTACGACTTTATTTTATAACTCAAATTTTATTTGAAATAATTGTAAATGTTTATAATGTTATAATATACTGTTTGATTCCAATATAAAGGTTTTTATAACTATATGTTATATATTTCTTCATATTCTATTAATTATTAAACATTTCGAGTTATTCAAATTCTATTTTATAATTCAACTTGAATATGAAATGTTTTCGAATTATGCTAATCTTTTCCTTTTTAAATTTCATCTATTCAAAATACTTGTAAAATCACGCATAATTTTCAGTAGACATACCAAACCATTTTTACATCATAAATTCAGTCTTTCAAATTTTCTAAATTGTTACTATAGATTCAAATAACCATTTTACATTTGATTTTCAGTACGACACGACCAATTTTTGTATCATGGATATTCAATTCTCAATCTAAACTAGATGTTGAACTCTAATTGATATGCTACTTAGTTTGTAGTATCGTTAAAATTATGATGTTTAGTTTGCAGTATGTTAAAATTTTATCCAATGCTATCAGATCCAAACAAAGACGGTGCTATCAATGCTGATCATTTGAGAAAAATTGAGTCTATTGTGAATGACCAAATAAAATCCGAGTTAGATGTATATTCAAAGGAGGCAACGCTTGCTGAAACCAAGCGTATCAATGGTTTGAGAGCTGTCTTTGGAGAAGTAACCTTAAGCATTTTCTTCATTATGGCTTTCTAATTTGCCTTTGCTCGTTCCTTTGAAAAGTTATGTTACAATTGTTTCCAATGCAGGTGTCTCCTGATCCAATTAGAGTTGTGGCCATTGGTAAAAAAGTGAAGGACATCCTTGTTGATCCAGAAAACAAAGAATGGTCATCAATTTCATCAGAACTCTGTGGAGGTTAGTGTTGAATAATAGGGTAAAGAAAACAAAAAGGAAACAAGAATTTTAACGAGGATCAGCAATGTGCTTACGTACTCAGTGCCTTAGGCGGCGCTTGTTTTTCATTCAATGTCTCATAGGTTTATGTTACATCTCCTTTTATAATAAATAAACCTTGGTACATATTTACAAAAATAACCTTGTACCATACCGCGGGAAGAGCTCGTAACCCCCATTACGAGACTTTCTCTGTAAGGACAGATGATGTTCTCTCACTCCGCTCCATCCTCTTTACCGGTATATTTATGAGCCACACCTAACAAATCTCCACCTTGGTGAATATCATACCCCTTAGGAAACATTCAATGTGGGTTGGGTTATCTTACTTCTTTAACAACTCAAAACACTCAATAAGTTCAAGCAATGCATGAACTTGTCTGTCGTAACTGGCTTAGTGAACATATCAGCAGCATTCTCATCAATATGTACCTTCTGAAACAAAATCTCTCCAGATGCAACCAACTCCCTGATCTTGTGAAACCTTAAATCAATATGCTTAGTTCTAGCACGATATATCTGATTCTTAGCCAAGTGAATAATACTTTGATTGTCACAAACCAATTGAACTCCATCTTGCTGAACACCCAACTCCTTCACTAAACCAGTAAGCCATAAAGCTTCTTTTGCATCTTCAGCCGCTGCCATGTATTCAGCTTCAGTTGTAGATAATGCCACAACAAATTGAACAGTAGACTTCCAACAAATAGACCCTCCACCAAAAGTAAAGACATACCATGTCGTAGATCTTCTATTATCTAAGTCACCCACATAGTATGAATCCACATATCCTACAACCAAAGGATTATCCCGCTGACTACCAAAAACAATTCCATGTCCCACAGTACCCTTTAAGTAACTAA